ACCTCCTGTAAGAACACCCACTCCTCGCCGGAAACTGTCACGCAGAGAGTCCAGAAGACGTGTTTCCGTTGAGGAGCTTTTATGTTGGAAGCGATTACGAAAGCAACCACTGTCGGAATCTGCTAGTGACTAGAGGGGCCATGTCTGAGGGGCTCCGTCACAGACAGAGGTTTGTGGACTTGAACAAACTCTGAAGGGATACGATTTTACGCACAAGCAGCTCATCATCTCATCACACATATATAAGACTGCCAGTGCATACTTGGAGAATAGGCAATGCTCTCAGTTGGCACTGATCTAATCTAAATTAGTTGAGGTTCTAATCCCACCTCATGTGGCAACTAGGAAGAAGGATGACCTGGCTTGATATGATGGATGAGCTTATTTGAGGTTGTCACTTATAACTCAAGGAATAAAATGAAAGATGGATGCTATAATTAAATTCTATAATTAGCAATCCTATCTGCTGTTCCGACTGGGATAATTATAGAATAGTGGTGGTCTTTTCTTTAAGCCCACCTTTTATAATATTTTATTTAATACGGGGGAAATGCATAAATATCAGCTTGAGATATAGGAGTGGTGTGTGCACAAACCACACACAGTAGAGACCTCCAGAAACTGAACCACTTCAGAATGCGGGTGGATGATCCCATTAAATTGGCTCTCTTGTGATGAACTTCCTGAAAATGGTCACCAGCATATTAAGGCTACAGTCTTCTCATTTGTTGACTACCACATACAGAGGGTTTTAAACATAAGAACATTCAAATATGTAATCCTTTGAGATGATTGTGCCAAACGCGAAGTGGCTCTCAGCTGGTGCCAGTGGAAGTGCTTTGACTCTATGTGGGATGTTGATCAGGCTATGAATCATCTTCTATCCTGCATGTTGTATTCCTTTCTGGAGGAGTGTAAAAAGGAACTTGTAGACAGATCAAAGTCTCAGCTGAAATGTCTCTCATAAATATTAAGGTTGCTTGTCACTTGAGTCATTAAATTAATAGAATAAAATATCATTTCTCTTAGTTCACAGAAAAGTGATGGTTGGCACCCCGTATTTACCATGCTGGGCATGATAGGATAAATCTTTCCCCCCAATACACTGCTTCATTTTCATATTCTGTGCTGCAATGTGTAATGAATGAGCTTTGAAAGAAACTTAATTTTCAATGGCTGAAGCTAAATGCTTTGGTCCTGGGCACAGCTGGAATGAGATGCTTCCATGTTTTCTGGTTGGGTGCGGTTGTCCTTTCAAGAATTCAGTACTGAGCATCTCAGACTCTCTCTCTGATTTTGGGGGGCACCTGCCACCATCAACAAATAAATATGAGTTGTTGTGTTTTGGTTTTTTTGCAACAAGTGGGCAAATTCACAGATAGAAAAAGGCAATTCAGGAATTCTTATCCTTTTCATTTAAAATGTTCATCAGGTTGCAATACCAGGCTGATCTCAAGTCAGGCTGGCTTACACTGATGAAACCCTGCAGTCTGACAAAAGCTGTTAAGCACTAAACTCTCCAGCAGATTGAACATTAGCCTTTGTCCTTGGACCAGCTGGAATCGCCTGTTAGTAATGATTTCCCTGGTGATCACATTGCACCAAAGAACCACATTCCATATAGCTCAAGCACTATGTTCAGGGAACAGCAACCTCATTTTACTCCTGCTATCATGCCACAAGTAAAAAGAAATTAACTTGTGGATTAGGTTTCCTATTTATTTCAATATCTTGGGCTGATTGAATAGTTAACCATTGCATTCAACTTAAGTTTTGACTGGTTTTCCTTCCACACTAACAGTTGTGTGTGTGTCTGTGCTTATGTGAAGAGACTTCTGGCAGAGGTATTTATTGAATCATTTACATATTATGAATAATGACAAGGTGGATTGTCAATTCTGTGTCAAACTAAAGTGAATTGCAGGTAGATGACTAAATAGGAATGTAGTATTTATTCAAATATTTATAGGGAAAATTCAATAACATCAAGACTGGCTATATATCATGTCAATAGATATTATAATAGTTAAGGCAGATGCATGAATTTATTATTTAGCACCAAGAAGATGCACTGCAGGGAGAAAAATATATTTCTTCCTCCCACCGCTATTTCCACCTCACTCTCTCTACTGCCTCAAGATTGCTGCAGGGCTTTTAGCACTTTTCTTCCCGCTTCCTAGCATGTGTTTTAGAGACAATATCCTTGCTTTAGTTTTCAAAGCACATTAATGTAACAGGAGTTTCATGTTAATACGTTGCCATGTATTCTGCTACTGTATGAATCTCGAGTACTGCACTTGAATTTTTAATGGCTGACAGGAACGGCCAGGGGAGGTAGTTTATACAAATAAGAGAAGCCTCTCTTTCTCCCCACCCCTTGTAACATATATGTCTGTCTGTCTGTCTGTGTGTGTGTGTGTGTGTGTGCGCGCGCACACACACACACACACACACACACATGCAAACAGAGAAACACAAAACTAGGTACCATCTAAAACTAGATCCTGGCTTGTATTTCTTTGTCAAGAGGGGAGGTGTGCTCAGCTTTATATAGACTGCCCCCTGCCCCAGTCTGAAAAAGCATCATTTACTTGAAAGAGAAAGATGGAATTTATGATACCACACCCTCCACTTCTCAGATTTCATATTTTCATATTTCAAGAAACAGACTATTTCATGTAAAGAGTCATGAAGAACCAAGACTAGCACAGATGGAAAAGCTGGTTCATTATTTATTTATTTTATATCCAGTGACCACGCGCACCTTTATTGGTGTTTCTGGCCTTTTTCATCTGAGAAATAGTTTTATCTTTGCAGCCATCTGTACAGGCGAAAGATGCCCAGTTTCTTTAACCTTTCTTCTTAGATCGTGTATTCCAAATAATTTGATGCCAGCTTACCTCTCTGATGCTTCCCTTTTTCTCCTGAGGTGCCTCTGCCTTCATGATTAGCCATAATCATTCATTCATTCCATCAATCATATTTGTTCTCAAGTAATTAAGTACTACTCACGGCTTGCTGAATACACACATTTGTATCAACTTGTGCGGAACATACCAACTGTTATGAAGAAGTGGTAGAAGTGGTAGGAATGTTATAAAGATGAAACAAATATTTGAAATTTCATAGAATTTAGCCATTTTGCTGTTTAAATTCGGGCTTCCAAATTTCCGAATTTAACAAAATAAATTTACACTTTAAGAGCAGAATCCAATGAGACTTCACCTTCCTCCTCTTATCTTCTCTGGTAGGATATTGAGGTCACACAGAGGGCTGCAGCAGGAAGGGCAAGAATGTGAAATTCCATTGCACAAGTGGAAGCCTGTTTCACTCACACACAAACAGTGTCTGATAAATCCCCAATGTTCAATTTTACATCAAAGTATGAATTTCTTAGAGCTCTTTATCTGTTTTGATATCTGTTTTGATATTGGCAGGCATTAAATATGATATCTCACAAGCTGTCAAATGTTGAATATGTTACCTGTCAAAGACTATTGAAATCCTACATAGGTAAGGTAAAGGGTAAAGGAGCCCTGGACGGTTAAGTCCAGTCCAAGGTGACTATGGGTTTGCAGCGCTCATCTCGCTTCAGACAAAGGAGCCGGCGTTTGTCCACAGACGGCTTTTCAGGGTCATGTGGCCAGCATGACTAAACCGCTTCTGGTGCAACGGGACACCATGACGGAAGCCAGAGTGCACGGAAATGCTGTTTACTTTCCCGCCACAGCAATACCTACTTGCACTGGTATGCTTTCGAACTGCTAGGTTGGCAGAAGCTGACACAGAGCGATGGGATTTCACCACCGTTGCATGGATTTGAACTGCCAACCTTCCGATCTGCAACCCCAAGAGGCTTGGTGGTTTAGCCCAGTGTGCCACCTGTATCCTGAAATCCTACATACTACTTGAATGCCAACTATAAAATACTTCCACTATCATACGTTGAAAATAAAATGTAACCTGGTTTACTGATAGCAAATAAGGATATGCGCATTCAGAAAATAGCTGAGGTTCTGCCATCATCACCATCCATAGAGGAAAATTTGAGGAGAATTTTAAGGTGTGCTATCCCATCAAAGGCACAGCATCTCAACACAGTTCACAGATCAGACCAGATCAGAAGAATCTTTATTTGCATCAGCCACTAGCCATGGCAATAAAATAAAATACAGTGAACTGAAGATAGAGGTAAAAACTGAACTACACAAAGTACATTTGGGAGGTTTACATCAATAATCAAATAATAGATCTTATTCTAATTTCGCCTGCTAAAATTTTTTGAGTTGCACTTTTCTTGGTTCATACAAGAAGAATGTAAGTAGCATGGAAACCTGGAGCTCGGGAGGAAGGATAGTTAAATGTGTCAGATCATTCGAGGTATTTACAGTTTGAGATGGGACAGAGAAGCAATGTATACATTGGTTTTTGGTATACACAGCTCTTTGTGTTTGTGCACATGAGCATTTTGCTGACTGAGGGGAAGTACATGATGACGCGCCCCTACCCTGCCCTGCTGCCCAATTCCACATGAAGAAGATAAATAGACTGTCCGTTGAATTTTAGTTCAACACTGGGGATAGGCCATGCCCTCCACTGGACCCACGGGCAGCAGGCTAGCTTTGTGGGTGCAGTGGGACAGGCTGTGAGCACACACAGATCTGTCTTCTAGCAGATATGAAAGGTCTTGTGTGTGAGAGAAAGTGCATTTGTTGCAGCTCTACAACATTCACAATGTAATTCCATATGCATGGACCATAACCAGATGTGATACCATTCCCTCACTGTGGCAGACATTTCCCTTTCATCAAATGAAGCTGCATAGGGCTAAATTTGGGATTAGAGACTAGAAGCAATGCTCAAACTTTTAAAAGTTCATTTGAATCTTTTGAAATGTCACCTCTGCAAAGCCTGGAAGAGCGAAACAACAACAATAATGTTTCCAAGTGTCCCTGGGGCTCTGCAAAGCTGAGATATATAAATAAACATCCTTATTAGTCATTAGCATTACATGTTTAGGATGAAAGCTTCAAATAAATAATCAGGTATCTCAACCCTCATCTTATTAATTATTCCATGTTTCATAAATGCAATATTGTTTTTAAAGTTCCAAATATTAAAAGATGTATGTAAATTCCCTTCAGCACCAATAATTGTTTTCTTCTCTTCCTGCTGTTCCTGTTCTTGCAATTATTCAAGCATCATAGTTGCGTGTTGAGTCCCACAATGAGTTGCGTGTTGAGTCCCCCAAAAAATTCACACTTCACACATCAATTTTTGTTTAAGGTTTTTGGCATAATTTTGGCCACAACTTTATTCAAAATACAAAAAATGTGAGTGGTTGCTTAGGCATTGGTTATGACTATCTGTCCTTGCCCTCAAGGACAGAGCTGGCCCTTCCGGACACCAACGGAAGCCAGCGTGGGAAACAAGTATTGGGTGAGAAAATGAAGCTGGGCAACAGTCCCTCACTTCTCACCCTCATGTTCCTGTGGGGCTTGCAGGGCCAAAGTCTGATGCCAGGGACAAGGACGAAAAGAATGGCAAGCCCCTGGATTCCTTTAACAGAATTCCCTTTCCGCATCATTTGGAGGGGTAGGCACTTACCCCTCCAAGCACCAATTTAACCAATGCCTAACCGCCAACCTTACAAGTTGTGACGATTTGCTACACAGTAGGCAAAAACCAAATGGCACCAGCCAATCAGCCAGATGGCAAAATTCCTACCAGGCCCCCGCTCCAAGGCGGATGACCCCATGACAGGCATAGCAAGGTCAAGCGATCAAGAAAAAACAAAAAACCACCCTATTAAAGGGAGGGAGGGTGGGTGATCCGATGCAAAATGGCCAAGAGGACGTCCAACGTCTGGCCCCTGTATTTAAAGACTCTGACCCCTCCTCCAAACTGGCAACAATCAAAACTCCCCAGCAACCCAGTTTTAACCACTTAAAGGCTTGGGTTCCTCCAAATCTGCCCAGTAACGTGAGGGTGGCTTGTTCCCCCAACCGCAACACGTGCTCTCTGTTAGGAAGAACACGCTTTACCAAATATACTCTTGAGAATGGATTAACCCTTTTTTTCTCTACTTGTCCACCAGGAACAAATGGAGCTGGTTGATCTGTTAGGGAGAAGTCCAGTTATTGTTGTTTGGAGTTATCTAGCTCATTCCTGGCTCTTGTGACAGAAACATGTTATCAGAACCAAGGCAGCTTTCAGTGTCATGTGCTCTTTCTTTCTCCTCTGTAATATCCAATTCAATTTAGCGCATGTCCTGACATTGTTGCTGAGCTATCCCTCAAAACTGCTCCATATCATGAAGCAGAGGCAGGAAAGACAGCATAGAGACATCAGCTGATATTACCAAAACCTCAGCATAGGGGGTCATTTTTGAGATACTTGGAGAAGTATCAGATCAGATTCTCAAAAGAAAATAGGGCACTTTTAAATTCACCTACTGGTGAAAGTTTGTGTTCACTGTTTAAAAATCCCTCCATAAGCATTCATTGATTCATCTATCAAATAAAAGCTTGTAGAAATCATCATCAAATTTCATCATGTAGGTGAAACCCAGAAGGGATATGATTTGCTCTGTTTCTACATTAAGGAAATAATTCCTTCCTGCAGTGGTGCAATTCCTCTGACTCTTCTGCTATCTGATACAGTTGTGTTTGGTCTATACAACAGACCAACTCTCTCTTTTAGCAAGTTTTACCAATGAAAATAAGTGGGAATTTGAATTTTGCTTTAGAAATGTGGGCCCAAAGAATAGGTAATTTTTAAAGCAAAGAATAGGTGTGTTTTTTTTCTAGGCTTCTCACCTTATCAAATGAAAATCAAAAGCTAAAATCAAAAATGTATTTTCCTAATGTGGCACAATATCCCTGGCTATCTGGTCAAAATGAGGATTTTAATTGCCTGAAGTCACCTTGATATAAAATAAGTAGCCAGAGTCCTGTAACAAAGGTGACATCAACAATAAATAAGCTTGGGTGAGATAAGAGAAATTCTTCGAAGGGGGAAAAAATATCCCAGGTAAATGTATACCTATCATGTCACAAGCCTTAGATCCTGCTGAAAGATTGATTAGATCCTGGTGGTGAGGGAAATGGGAAATTGGATTGTAAAGTGTGAGATAGACTGTGCAACTTTATCAGACCGTTCACCTGTAATGATGAGGTCATCTTCCTCCTGGCAGCTAGACTGGCTTCTCAGTGAAAAAGAAACAACAAGATTTATGTACTGTGAGATCCAATGACAAAGGAAGAATTGAGGGAGGTCTGGGAAATACATTTAGGCTAAATTAAACATTTCAAAGGCACATCATAGCGGAAATCCTAAGGATTCTTTTTCAAAGTTCTTTGAGGTTTCATCTGGCCGATTATCTAGCTGTATTCGGGAGGGGAGGGGAGGGAGAGAGAGATCAAGGATTTATGTTGCCAAAGGCTATCACAAAGGTTCCTAGA